GGGGGGGGGAAGGGGCGGAAGAGGAGGGAGTTTTGATTAAAAATCCACAAAGCCATGTTGTCGTGGTTGTTTTGAGCAACAAACCCCATCGCGACGGCCTACTGCTTTTTGTAAAACGCTTCCCACCCGCTCCCGCTCCCGCTCGGTCATGGGCGATGAAGGCGAGGTAAGAGGAGAAATTCCCCCCTCCAAGGGCGCTGTCTCCTTCCTCCGCGTGTGCCTGCAGAACTTCGAGGTCGGGCGCGCCCAGCAGTTCCGGGAAAGGACGAGGACTGGGGGTGCCTTCGTCTAAAACACCCTCTGCTCTCGGACCCTCCGCTGGAGAGAGGCCGGATAATCCCGCCGCCCGGGGGACCTTGGGACAGAGGCAGGGGATGGTTCTCCTCAAGGAGGGAACCATCAACCTCCTCCCGGAGCCTGTCACCTCACTGGGCGATTCCCTCACTCTAGCGCGGCCGAGCCTGCGGGGAACCCGGCGGCTTGTCCCTCCAGGCACACTCACTTCTTCCCTCCCCAAGTACTTGGAAACCCTCTGGAAATGCTGGCTCTGGAAGGGCGGCTCCCAGGCAAGCGGCAGCCGGCTCCCCCAGCCCAGCCAGTCCCCTTTGAAGAGGCGACCCCCTCTCAGCTTCCCCCCGCCGCTTTTATGCTTTAACTTTTCACCCTGAGCGGGGACAATGCGAGACGACGTTTGCATATTCGCATCTTTTCCCATGACACAGCGAGGAAACCTTTCACCCGCCGAGAAAAAAAATTGATGGGGACGGGAATGTCCCCCCGTTTTCCCAGCACTTTTCGCCGGAGCAGCGCAGCACCGTCTGAGCCATTCTCACCGGCTTTCCCGGTCCCTTGGGGCGGCTGAGGCTCGCTCCTACTGGGGCTCCCCAGAAGGTCCCCGCGCTGTCCCGGACCCTCATGACCAGGGTATTACATACGGAGATCTACGTGGTCGTGTCCCAAGGGTGTTTTTCCTTCCACGTGGGTGGCTGTTCTGCACACCGAGGAGTGTCACTGAGACGGGGTGTCTTGCAGCTGCGGGCGGATTTCAGCTCTGCAAAGGCAGATATCCCGAACCCACTCTCTAAAAATCTCCCTCTCCTTCCCCC